GCTGAACTGATGCTTCTGCTTTGGGAATTAAGAATCTGTTTTCTCACAGCTAAGTTCTCAACTAGATTTTGCATAATGATGGTTATATTCACTGATTCCTACTGATTTTCAGGAAGGATTTAGAATAAAACTAATATGATGAGGGAGCATATTTTATTATATAAAATGACTTAATTTTAATTAGGTTTTACAATTGTTTTTTTCTTTATTTCTTCAATAATGGTAATATCTTATGGTTTTGTGAAACTTATGTGGAAAATACACATTTTACTTTGGATATTTTGAACTGCAAGATAGTAATATGTTATATTTTTCCACCCCTACACTCTTTTCAAGTTGCCTTTTTAATAATAGTAATAATAATAATAACCATACAACAGCTCAGTTCTTCAGCTCTTTTTCCTAGTGCTAGCTGAAAGGTACTGTCTGTTTATAACTCTACTGATGATGGTGAAGCTAAATATTTTAAAATTAGTCTATTTTTTTCAATTCCCTCTAGTTAGTCTAGGCTACACCAATAAATTTACAAAAAACTATACTTGCACTTTGCCTGGAGGATGATATGCAAGGATCATCATACGTCTGAATCTAAGGCAACAGCACACAGTTTGCAAAAGAGCCACTCCATCATTTGCATCATCTTTCTGATGTAAACATATGTCCCTTATTTGCATTTAGTGTTTCACGTTGAAGTGCTGATTTCAACCTAAGTTATGACATTCAAAAAAATGCAAATAATGTACCAAAACAGAAACAAAAGTAGCATCTGTAAGATAGGAAGTAATCATCCTCCCCTATTTAGACCGTGTAAGACCTCAGCTGAAATACCAAGTCCAGTTTTGGTTACCATTTCAAGAGATGAACTAGTGGAAGAGATCTCAGAGGAAAATAATGAGACTGATCAGAGTTCTGGAAAACAAGTTCTACATGGAAAGACTGAAGGAAGAGTGATTGCAGCCTAAAGAAGAAAGGGAGCAACAATCAGTTTGCAAATAAGTAAAAGGTGCTGCCCGAAGGATGATTGGTATCCTGTTCTCCAGATGTGTAATAATTGTTGCAAGTGACAGTCTTAAATGGCAACAGAAGGATTTAGATGTTAGGAAACAATAAAGCAAGTGCCAGAATAAATATTTTTAATGAGGTTGTGGAGTGTCCGTTATTAAAAGACTTTGATAACCAGTTAAAAATACATTAGGAATTACATAAATAGAATCATAGAATCAAATAAAGCTGATCCTACCTTCCTAATCCCTTGCAGTCCAAATATTCTTCAAGGACTTTAAATTCTTCAGCTGAGACTTCTACTTGTTTCAGATTTATTGTTGATTTTTTCAGTCCTTTGATACTACACCTTGATTTCATCATCGTACTGTAAGTTGCCTGAACTTCATATTTTCTGTATTGGCCCCAAGACATGAAAGTTGTTGCATATTGGATTTGCACCTTGGGATAATCATGCTCTTTTTAGTATTCCACAATTTCAAAAGTGTAAGGGACATCTTTTCCTTTAAGAAAATAATTCCTTCTCATTTTAAGTTTACTTCAGGATGATGCCAGCCGATTTGTATGCTGCGTAAGCAAAGCCTTTTTGAAAGCTACACTAGAAATGAAACCTCAAGATGATGGAGATACAGCAGTAACCATGGATGAAGAGTGTTCCATTCCCAACTTGTTTCTTCAACTGGGCTCTATGACAAACAATATGAAGGAATCAATGATCTGCAGCCCTGATTAGCAAAATTATAATAGAGATTAAATGACAGAGAACTATCTCACTTCTTTGTTTTACTCTGGGCACAAATGGATTAAAAACTGAGTGATTTCTATTTGGAGATGTTGCCTAGTCAAGAGAACTAATTGCTACAACAGAGAAAACTACTTTCTGTTTGAACACTCAGATGAAGCAATCTGCACCTCACTGTCAAATATAAAAATTTACAGGTTTTGGGCAGAGGAAATAGATATGAAAGTTCACTAAATGCTGCCACCTATGAGGCATATTAAGTCTTCGATGCACGTAACACCCATCTTCTTCTCAGAACATATCTGAGGGATCTAGCCTCTGTAAAATACAATATCATTTATTTAAAGTAAAAATAGAATTACTAAATCAGGCAAAGTCTTTCAAACCAGAGAAAAATCAACATTCTGATTGATAGAGCTGATTAAATTTTCGGTTCCCTTTTGTTGCCACCTTTCTGACTGATTTGAGAGGGAGGGACTACACATCAGTCTTCATTGGTGGCAACTCAGTTACAAAAGGCTATTTCTCAGTTGTATGTAGCCTTTGCAGTTGACATGATTTGATGACTATTTAGTCCCCTAAACTAATACTGCGTTCTATCATTTGTGATAATTGATTAGAAATAAGTTAATTATGCTTACTGCTTAAAATGTTCATGTAGAGACAAAATAGGGGGATACAAGTAGTGTATCTGATGAGAAGCTGTGAAGAAAGCCAA